ATTGATTTGTAAGAGAAAATTAGAATTAGGAATTATACAACCGTAATTATTGACTTTTAGTAAATAATATTAATTTTTTAACTTTTTAAGTAATTTTTTATTTTTTTAACTTATTCTAGTCATCCGAAACTTGGCCTTAATTGCCCCATGTATTAATGCATACCGCTTTCTGCGTTGTTCCAGTGCTTTGGAAGTTACGTCTGAGAAATTGATTTGGTCGGTGCGATAATGGTCTGTTTAACGATGATTATCTTTTCAATTTTTTGTTTATAAATTTAGAAAAAAAAAATTAAAAACTAACACAAAAAACTTATATAACAATTTTTTTTTTTTTTTTTTGAAAGACACTCAAGTTTCGTTTATGTTTCAAAACGAGGCAGATACAAATTGGTAGGCATGTATCTCAGAATCAAGATTCTCTCATTTATTTCTCTTCTTATGCCTTATTTGTCAACATGTCGGTTTAATTAAAAAGTCAAAAATTATTAAAAAAGTCAAAAAGTCAATAACTTATATCAAAAAGTCAAAAAAAAAAAATTCTCTCTATTTTTTACACATCTTTTCGTAAAAAGTCAAAAAGTCATCCCAAAGATACTAGTTTTTTTTAACTCATATTTTAACTAAATAGCCAAAAAGTTACTAAATTAGTCTGTTCTCAAACGAGACCTTAACTTTTTTTTTGTTAGGTTATTGGACTTTTTTTTTATTTAATTTTAATAATCCAAATCGTTCACATTTTAAGATTTGTTAAGGTGATGATTGGTTTTTCTATTAGACTAAAAAAGCACAAAAGGACAAAAAAAGGTTTAAAAGTCACAAAATGACAAAATAAGGAAAAAAACAAAAAAAAAAAACATTCCAAAGCCAAAAAGTCAACAAGTCAAAAAAATCAAACAAGAATACCAAACGACTAAAAAAGTCTCAGGCTACAAAAGTCAAAAAAATAAAAAAGTCAACTAAAAAAGTCATTGCTAAACGAAGGCTAAGTATATCATACTTGTAAAAAATTAAATTGATCGAATATCAGAAATTACGTGTTCAGATCATCGAATTACAAACCATTTTTAAAAAAAATAGTTTTTTGAACACATATTTTTTGATATCCGATCAACTTGATTTTTTACATATATGATATACTCAATAAATTTTAAAATATGAACAATTTAAAATTTTCAAAATTAAATCTAAAAATAAGCTCAATAACCTAGTAAAGAGAGAGTTAGAGAGAGAGAGAGACGAAAGAGCGTATTTTAATTCTATATCTCAATGGTAATATATCTCCTCTGCCAGCTTCCTTCTCTATAAACGATAAATAAAAAAAATAAAAAAATAAACCAACCATACCTCTTTATTTTGAAAAATTATTCCATGCTCCAGGGTGTGCGCGATGTGAAATAAAATTATAAATCAAATCACGAATTGGTAAATTGACAAATTATCATTTGAGTATTTCGTCGTCAGTTTGATAAATTTTTTGATGAAATCTCAATCTGATATTCATTTGGTGCAACCGTTGGAGCAGTGAACAGCAGCTTTTTCATCAAAATTTGAATTTGATATCAGTTTTGGTGAACCGTTGGAGATGGTCTAACGTAACCATTGATAGCCCTTGAATCTAACCAATCAAGAAAGCCTCTAAAGCCTTGAAATCGTTTGAATTGCAAATCAGGTTTTGGGAATTCAAAACCTGAACTTGTGAAGAGAACACAAGAAGGAAAATAAAGATAACCCACAACTTCAACACCCCCATCTCTGAAAAACAATTACTATACGCTAGAGAGAGAAAGAGGAGAGAGAGAGAGAGAGATAGAGGGGGTAAAGTCAGGTTCCAAAAGAACTCAATTGGTAGAGCATAAATTAAAATCAGGGTTTGGTTAGCTTCAACATTTTTTTGTTCTTGAGGATCAAAGAAAATATAAAGAAAGATACGTTTTTTTGGTTACGTTTATTTTCAGAAGTAGTATGGAGGAGATTCATAATAAGGGAATTAAGTAAAATTGTGTTTGTTTTGATGATAGTTATTGGTGTAGGAATTGTTAAATTATTTTTATAAAAAATAAATATAAAATAATAAAACAAATAAAAAAATACAAAAATATTAAACATTAATGTTTTTAAAAAAATGCCCAACATGTAAAAAAATTTTAAAAAATAAAAATAAAATAAAAATTTCCAAAAAAAAATAAAACAAACAAAATAATGATTTTTACTTAACAAAAAATACAAAAAATTAAACATTAATGTTCCAAAAAAAAAAATGCTCGACATGTAAAAAATAAAATAAAAAATAAATAAAAATAAAAAATTTCTAGTCCGTCAGATTATTTTTCTAATACCAAGTCTTGGAGGCCCATCCGAATCCCCTTGGGGAGACCCATCCTAATCCGGAGCTCACTATCAATCCCCTCCCCATCTCTCAAAACAAACACAATATTAGTGGGTCCCACCTCACTGTCAATCTCAATCTCCCCTCTAACTTTCTAAACAAACGGGGCCTAAGAGTATGAGTTATTTCCCAAAATAAGCTGAAGCGTTATTCCAAAACACGCTTTCACCATATTTCTGACTCAGGCGCGGAAAATGAATAAAATCATAAAAGCGTGATTACAAATCACGCTTTTAATTAATAAAGCGTTGTTAGAAACCACGCTTTTAAAAAAAACTGTGTTTTAAAGAAGAGTGCTGCTATTAGCACCTACCAAAATTCTTTGGATCCCCCATTTTTTTGGATTCCAACCGTAAACTCTAAATTTTAATAATATTTTTTTGGACACCCCACTTATTACCAAATCTACCCATATTCATAATATTTTCACAATGAAATGCACACCCACCTAATTTTTCGTCCCTCTCATTCCCTGACTCACTCAATCTTCAGAGTTTGGAGCTTTGGTTTAGTACAGAATTCTTAGACCCCAACCCTCCATCACTCTCGTCGCTGTCTTGGCCGTCAACAGAGCATTCCGACGACTCTCATCTTCTCTGAACGCTCTCCGTATCGCCGAATCAGTAACCTCTCTCATCCTCTCATCATCGTCTTCTTCGTTACTTTTTGTATCTTTGTCATCGCTGAGATCGATCGAAGATACTCCAATTTCTACGGGATTTGAATAACCATTTGCAAGATGAGGAAAAACAGAATCATCGTCTGAATCGCCATCATAATCATCATTTGAATCGCCATCAGAATTCTGAATGTAGCCCAAAATAATTTGTTCACCACTGTGTAGCCGAAAAAATATATTTTGTTCATAACTGTTTTGTCGAACAATAATGATCCTGTCAACACTGTATGTCCGAACAAAATTTGTTCATCACTGTGTAACTTGAATCCATTCCAATTCACAACTTAAAATAACATGAATTAAATCTATTCAAAATACATAACTTAAATACATTCCAATTCACTATTTTCCATTCTAAGTTAGTTTAACAAAGAAAATTACATAGCTGACTATTCGCATTAATGTTTGGAACCTATGTATTGAACGAAAGGATTATGTTCAGTACTGTATTACTAAATATAATTCTAACAGTCAGCAAACCAGTACCGAACAGCTCGAACGAAACAAGAACGACCGAAAACGACCGAGAATGTTAATACAAAACAGATAAACTTATTAATGGAACGCTGGTCTCACTAGAATTGTTGTCCTCGTCCTCTATTGCTCTACACAGTGAAATAAGTGATGAAGTATACGCTATACTTGAAGCAAAACTTTCAAGTTCAATAGCGTTGATGATGGTGATGAAGATGACACATTCAGGATTCAAGATGATTATGAAAAATAATAGATTTAGGGTTTATATTAGTTGGTTATGAAAAGTAATAGGTTTAAGGTTTACAAGCATGGAATATGTATAGTTTGAGTGGGGGTGGAGGTGGGTGTCCAATATTATAGAGTATTAGTTCTTATTGATAGGTGGGTGTTCCATTTAATAATGTCTTTTAATGTAATTCTACTTTAGGGTATAATTGTAATAAAAAATTTTTATAAAATGGGGAGTCCAAAAAATTTTGATAGATGCTAATAGCAGCACTTTTAAAGAAAACGTGGTTAGAAACTACGCTTTCAATAACAAACAAAACCACATCACGCACTCACACTCTTCTCTCTCTCTCTCTCTCTCTCTCTCTCTCTCTCTTTCTGACACACACATCCATAGCACTCACACACTCACATCAAACATATATAATTTTTAATATATATAAATTGAGACCAATATTAAATATATATATATATATATAATTTATAATAGCAAATAATAATCAACTATATAAAATGATTACTTTTTTATTTTAATTCTTAAAATTTATTTATTTTTTATTTTAAGGTTTAAGATTTAGGGTTTAATTCTTAATTTTTTTATTTTATTTTAGTGTTTAGGGATGAAATTTATTTATTTTTATTTTAGAGTTTAGGGTTTAATTCTTAAAATTTATTTATTTTTATTTTAGGGTTTAGGATTTATGATTTATAAAATAAAAAAAATTTTAAGAATTAAACTATAAATTCTAAAGCCTAAAATAAAAATAAATAAATTTTAAGAATTAAACCCTAAACCCTAAAATAAAAAAAATAAATTTTACTCCTAAATCCTAAAATAAAAAAAAAGAATTAAACCCTAAATCTTAAACCTTAAAATAAAAAAAAATAAATTTTAAGAATTAAAGTAAAAAATAATCATTTTATGTAGTTGATTATTATTTGCTATTATAAATTATTATATATATATATATTTAATATTGGTCTCAATTTTATAAAATAAAACTTATATATATTAAAAATTATATATGTTTGATGTGAGTGATGTGTGTGTAGAGAGAGAGAGAAGAGTATGAGTGCGTGAAATGGTTTTGTTTTTTATTAAAAGTGTAGTTTCTAATCATGTTTTTTTTACAATACAGCTTTCTCACGCTTTATTAATTAAAAGTGTGGTTTTTAATCACGCTTTTACAATTTTATTAATTTCCTGTGCCTGGGTCAAAAATATGGTGAAAGCGTATTTTAGAATAACGTTTAAGCTTGTTTTGAAAATTTTGATCAAACTAGACTCAATTTAGAAAATAGGTTAATAGTTGGGCTTATTTTGAGAAATGGCGCGTAAGAGTATTGCCCTATTTAATTTTTAAATTGACAATAATATTTTACCTCCTGAAATTCGAACACAAAAATTGCAAATCCCGTAATGTAGAATAATAACTACTGATTCAATGATTTCTCCTTCGTTCATGAACAGCAACCAAGGTATCTCTCTCTCTCTCTCTCTCTCTCTCTCTCTGCTCTCCTCTGTCGGTGCCTCATTGAGAGACAAATTTTTTTCCTGACGTTTTGTTATTTAAAAAGTAAATCTATACAACAGATTTGTAAATCTAACAACAAATCTATGTATTTTGCTTCAAATTTTGGGTTTTTGAAATCTGATATGTAATGAATCTCTAAAACTTGAATTGAACTGGGTGCCATCAAGCAAAGTACCAATGCAACGAACTGCAAAATCAATATCGACCCATTAACACAAATGCCCCCAATTTCATCTACCTCATGACAATTACACAATCAATCAAAAATCCATAACCGAATGAACCAATAGATCAATGTACCTTCGACCTCGTCGCCTTTGGTAGGAGTGTCCCAACTTTCACCTTCCTTGATATGCTTCTTCTTCAACCTATCATTTCCAATTTCCTTCTCTTCTCCAACCTTGTGAACTGGGTTTCCCTCAGGAAGCTCCATTTCCATGTCCATGTCGTCATTGTTGGTGTTCATTTGCCCAATAGTTGGGAATTTGAAGTCATTGTCCACGGATTAGAGAACGCTGAAATGGGTTTGTAGAGAGTGATAACAGATGTAATGGGTCTCTGTTAATTTTGAAAAGAGCTTCACGGAAACAGATTTGCGGTTTGATTTGGAAAGTGGGTTCGTTTTTATTTTATTTTTTTATTTTTATTTTAGTGTGGGGTTAAAAAATTTAGTTTAGAAAGAATTTTTAATTTTTTTAAATTTTTTTTAATGAGAAAAATAATATAATGATTATGAATTAGATATAATATTTTATCTTATTATATTAAAAAATTTATTTTTTTTCTTAGGAATATTTTACTCCAAAAAAATCATAAAAGCCTCTTCCCATCACAGGCATGCAGGAGTTATTTAAATCATATTATTTCTTTATTATATCACTTTAAATTCAATTCATATTTAATAAAAAATCAAAAAGTACATTTATTTAGAACAATCTAAACAACCCCTTACTATTAAAAATCATTATGTATTAATATTAATTAATGTAGTTTCTCACCAAATTTAAAAAGTTAAAAAATTATTATTTTATTTAAGTTATATTATCTTATTTAAATTACATTATTTTTTATTATATCACTTTAAATTCAACTCATATTTAATAACAAGTCAAAAAGTACACTTATTTAGAACATCCCAAACAACCCCTTACTATTAAAAATCATTATGTATTAATATTAATTAATGTATTAATTGATAAAGTGACATAATTAAAAAAGTTTTTGATATTTGTAATCTGATTAATGAGTGCGTTAATAATGATATTATAACTAGTATTGATATATTAATTAATATACTAATTGATGCATCCAATATTACCAAATCATAGATGATATGAGATGTACGTATGCCTCTATACAAGCGTAGATGGTATAAATAATTAAAAAACAAAATAAACATTAAAATTAACAAAAACAATTTTGGATTTTTGTTTGGGTGAAGCATCAATAAATTTTAAAATATGATTTTGTCAATTGTTTAGTTTTTTTATTTTTCCTTATAAATCCAAAGATTCTATTAAAGTAAAAATTATACAAAAGCGTAGTCACTTATACGTATAGAGTTAATTTTTAAAGGATAAAAATATATTTCTCTAAATGTGAAATTATATATTTGGACAATTCACACTATAGAGGTTTTAATTTTTTTCTCATTTTGGAACAAATCTCACATTACAAACAATAATGTGACACTCTAATGTAACACACTAAAAAATTTCTTAGTGTACTTTTTCCAAACGTAACACTCCAATACTCCAATGTAATATATTCTAATGTAACACACACAAAAATATTTAAAAACTCCTTAGTATATTTTTCTCAAATATAACACTTAAAGTTTAAAATTACTAATGAATTTTTATATTCTTTTTGGAATGATTTGAAGAATCTTATATCCGTTTGGAATGATTTAAAGAATCTCACATCCTTTTTTTGGAGTATTATATTGGAGTGTTACGTTTAGAAAAAGAATACTAAGACTTTTTGATGTGCTACATTGGAATATTATAATAAGAAGTTTTTTTGGAGTGTTATGTTTGAAAAATGTATATTAAGGAATTTTTTTTTAGAGTGTTATGCTTGAGTGTTACAATTTGAAATTATATATTTGTCCAAAACTTACTAAGAAGTTTTTGTACTCATTTTGAAATGTTTGAAAATTTTCATATTTGAAATTATTTTTGTACTCCTTTTGAAATGTTTGAAAAATCACATATTTCAAGTTATTCCAAATAAAAAAGATTCTCATATAAAAATTTATTCCAAATTTAATTCTCATACATTATGTATCTTACCTTCCTAACACAAAAGAGAAAAAAAATAAAAAAAAAAAATAAAAGAAGAAGGAAACATAATAGAAATAAAGATGTAATCGTAAACCTAATTTCTAAATAATATATTAAATCTACATTTCCAAAATCAATGAGACTAATTGGTTTATGAAATAATCTTTGGGACTAAATAAATCACCATCTCTCAAGATGGGATTTATAGATAAATTTCTCCTTTTGTATTTAAATTTTTTCTAATATTTTATCGAAGCCAAACGTGTTTGGAGCTTTTATTCTTCTCAAAACGTAGACTTTATCAAACGCCACCTTAATATTTGATTTTGAAAACAAGCTTTGAAAATTTCATTGTTGTGTTAAGATTATTTTTTATATTTATGATTTTTTAATTTAGAAATAAAGGAAAATTAAAATATATTAGAAATTTTGAATTTTTTCATATCTATGTTTTATTTATATAAATTTTAATATATTTATAATATAATTATGATGTCATAATTTAATTTGGGTTCACCCATCGGTTGATCAATGACCCATCACTTTAGGTCCCTTTCTGATTCACTGAATGATTCGAATTTCAAAACATTATTGCACACACATATTACACAATATGAGGATGACAATGGTGTATGAATATACAACAAGAGGATTGCAATACATTTTTTTTAAATCTCATTTATTAAAACTTCAAAAGAAATGGTGTAGGAATATACAACAAAAAGATTGCAATACATTTTTTTTAATCTCATTTATTAAAACTTCAAAAGAAAAACAATTGAAGACGCATGTATATATATGAATCTTCAAATAACACAAGTATATTTTTTAAGTCAAGTATGTTATATAAAATTCTGTAAAAGCTTATGTTTTTTATATTTTATTGTCTTTAGTGATACCTGATTTCCTAATGCATAACATTATGGCCCCGTTTGTTTAGAGAGTTAGAGGGGGGATTGGGATTGGTGGTGAGGTGGGACCTACTAATATTGTGTTTGTTTTGAGAGATGGGGAGGGAATTGAGAGTAAGCTCCGGATTAGGATGGGCCTCTAGCCCCGTTTGTTTTCAGAAGTAGAATAGAGGGGATTGATAGTGAGGGGATTAATAGTGAGAGGACTGTTAGTGAAAGGACTGTTAGTGAGGAGATTAAGAAAAATGTGTTTGTTTGATAGCCAGTGGACTAGCAATAGTTCATGTTTGTTTTGAGAGATAGTAATGGGATTAAATTAACTATGTAAAATTACACAAATACTCTTGTTGTATTAGTATTAAATTTAAGCTTATACCAATTAATAAATGCATTACCCAATTAAATTATTCAAAAATTAAAATTAAAATCATATAATTAAAAATAATAAAAAATTCAACTATTAATCTATTTATTATTATTATTATTAAAGAAACACTGAAAACCCTAGCCGCCGTTCTTCTCCAGCAAAGGCAAATGCTCCGGCAGCCCATTCTTCTCCTCTCATCCCTCGCCGCCATTCCATCGCAGACACGGAACAACGCTGGCGAGAGAGAAAGAGCTCTGGTTCACCGAAAATGAGTTTTACCAAAATATATTTATGATATCATTAAAAATTATTAATTGACTTAATGATTTATTAATAAAAAAAAAAAATGCCCAACATGTAAAAAAATTTAAAAAATAAAATAAAATAAAAAAATTCTAGAAAAAAATAAAACAAATAAAATAATAATTTTTACTTAACAAAAAATTAAAAAAATTAAACATTATGTTCAAAAAAAAATGCCCTGACATGTAAAAAATAAAATAAAATAAAAATAAATAAATAAATAAAATTTCTAGTTCGCCGGACTATTTTTCTAATACCAAGTCTTAGAGGCCCCGTTGTATTCCTCTTTTACAGTCCGGAGTGGACTGTGAATGATGAACAATGACCATACTCCTTGTTTGTTTGCAAATTTGGGGAATGGATTCATAAGTCGGAGGGCTTCAGATGGGCCTTGGATGTTGGGATTGTTAGTCCGCCCCAACACTTGGTATTGAATATTAGTCCGTTGGTATCAAGAGAGTAATTTACTTGTTTACCCTCTTCTCTTCTCCTTCCTCTTCTGTTGTCTCTGTCTCTTATCATATATATATGTATATTTCATTCGATTCTCACCAACTAAACATAAATGTAGACAAATTGCAAAATAGAATAGTAACATTGAAGAGTGATGCTCTGATCTTCGATTAAATCAAACAAAAGAGATACAAATCAAAAGACTATATGATATACATATACATACATATATATATATATATATATATATATATATATATATATATATATATGAGCAGATAATATATACTTATGATCTCCTCAGTTGAGGATTGATTACGGAAGTACTTTTCTTCTTCACAGGCTCTCTCCATTCACGTTTCTTCTTCTTCGCCATTGACTCTCTCTTCTCTCTCTCTCTCTCTCTCTCTCTCTCTCTCTCTCTCTCTATGTTGGTGAACTCACAAAGTGGAAAGGCAACATTATATGAGCAGATAATCCTCTGTGAATACTTTTGTCAAAACCATGGGCTGGTTTTGGACAAAAGCGGGTTTCTTTTAATAATAATATAATAAATAGATTATAGTTGAATTTTTATTTATTTTTAATTATATGATTTTAATTTTAATTTTGAATAATTTAATTGGGTAATGCATTTATTAATTTGTATAAGCTTAAATTTAATACTAATACAACAAGAGTATTTGTGTAATTTTACATAGTTAATTTAACCCATTACTATCTCACAAACAAACATGAACTATTGCTAGTCCACTGGCTATCAAACAAACACATTTTTCTTAATCTCCTCACTAAACAGTCCTTTCACTAACAGTCCTCTCACTATTAATCCCTCACTATCAATCCCCTCTATTCTACTTCTGAAAACAAACGGGGCTAGAGCCCATCCTAATCCGGAGCTTACTCTCAATTCCCTCCCCATCTCTCAAAACAAACACAATATTAGTAGGTCCACCTCACCACCAACCCAATCCCCCCTCTAACTCTCTAAACAAACGGGGCCATAATGTTATGCATTAGGAAATCAGGTATCACTAAAGACAATAAAAATATAAAAACATAAGCTTTTACAGAATTTTATATAACATACTTGACTTAAAAATATACTTGTGTTATTTGAAGATCATATATATACATGCGTCTCAATTGTTTTTCTTTTGAAGGTTTAATAAATGAGATTAAAAAAAATGTATTGCAATCTTTTTGTTGTATATTCCTACACCATTTCTTTTGAAGTTTTAATAAATGAGATTTAAAAAAAATGTATTGCAATC